GCAACGGAATTCCTCGACGACATCTCTGATTTTTTTTGTTTGTAAGAGATTTTTCCGGTGAGAAATAGAGAATCGGAAGAAGAAATCCGGCAAGAGAGACAAATCTGAATGAAATTCCGGTGAGAGAGGAAAGAGACGGACTAATAAAGCGCTTTTTATAGGACGATACTAATTGACTGGTTACACAGGGTGTAGCCGGTAATCACTATAGAAATTGATTTGTTATTGTTCAAGTAAGTTACCGACACGTGTCATTTTTACTTGCTGATTTTTTCTTAAGATGGTTCTTTGATATCTTAAGTCCGTCAATATTGGAGTTGGATTTTTTTCTTCTCTCTATATACGTAAATATAAGTGGAGCACAATTTTTTTTAGAGAAAAAATAGAGATGTATTATTTATTCGTCAAATTAGGAAAAAAATTCAAAATTGTGTAAAATAATGGTATAATACACGACCTCGGCAAACCAAACAACAAAATATGTAAAATTATAGTAAATTATTGGGGATGGAATAATAATTTACGTAAGCAGTGTAGTAGAGGGCCATGTGCATGTGATGAGATTCTCTTGTTTTTTCGTTTTTCCCTATATCTTTACAGTTATTTTAAAATAATTAAAAGAAAAAAATTTCGGTGGAGGAGCCTTTTATTCAGACAACCACGGAGAAGGCGATGATATTATCCATGTATTAGGAGCAAACATCGATACTATTCTGGCCATTCAATAGCTCAACCACTCTTAGGATAATACGTTTCCCACGAAAGTTATATTGACCGTCGTATTGACATTCACTCGTGCTTATCTAAAGCAACGGAGCAGAATCTCGCATTCCGGGATGGAAGATAGAAATCAGAACTTATGAAAGAAGTTTGAAGGTCTGGAAAACTAAAGTACTTAGAAAGACATTTTAGATAGAGAACTTAAAGAGAGGTTTTTAATATTTTCCAAACTTTTAATATCCTAAGAGTGGTTGAGCTATTGAATGGTCAGAGTAGTGCCGATGTTTGCTCATAATATCTGAATAATATCATCACTCTCGTCTGTCAATATGACTTAGTCAATACGGCGTCTTCTATGTGGTTGTCTAAAAACTGTAGTGTCCTCTTTTTTCAACAATATGAGGAGATTAAAGTGATTCTTTCAATTTTTGTTTTTTTGCTTATATTTTTAAAAAAAATTTACTTGGCAAAAATGACTTTGATTATAATTTTTGAAACGGCTAGTAGGTGTTGTTGATTCAGTCACAGCGTGTTAATAGGTATTTTGCCAAAATAATAAGTATAGAGAGATCAAGCAATTAATTTTTCCCTGAAAAGTCGTTTTAGTCGTCAACGGAATGTTGACAAGAAAAAAAATCGATAAACGGTCCCATAACAATCTGGATTTTCCATTGTTTTTAAAGTAGATTCTATGAATTATCTAGTGGGTGTTTTGTGATATTAGCTTTAGCTTAATCGAATATATCTACAATTTTCCCATTAAAATTTGATTTGCATCGGTATAACATTTTACAAAAAAAAGTAAAACATGTAGCCTTTTTTGCTTAAACTATCCAAACAGTACAAATGCATGATTGATGGAGAAAACAAAAAATAGCGTTGGATAAGTTAACATCATTACCAATAATTTGGTTCATTTATAACTGGTTTAAATTTAAATCTAAATCAGTCTCACATCTCACGTAGTGATTCAATATGCATAGATTCCGAACCTATATTACTTTTAAGTTGGTCAAGTTTGATTTGCTTCAAAAACAGCGTCGTATTAATAGTGAAAGGAGGGTTGAATTGACACCCACACACATAAAATATTGACCATATAAGAGATACAAAGACGATAAATCCAACAGACACATTCCCTCATTAACACAAACATTAGATGCTTTCTAAAAGGTTTCTGAGTCTTTTAACCATAAGCATATCACACATGCATATGTGGGATGAGAGATCACACAATTTCACTCCTTTCTTTAGTATCTCACACTTACGAATGAAAAGCTAAAACATCCATAAAAAGATAGACAAATTCGAGATTGCTAGATTCCTGCCCTTAAGGAGATGCAACTTTATGTGATCTCAATCTAGAAGAACACATTAATCTCATAGATTTTAAAATCATCCACATCATAAAATACTATTCAAGGCTTACGTGCCAACACTCGTTTTATCGTTACTACTACTCCTACCAAAAACCCGGTAAAGTAAAACCTATTGATGACCTGAAATTAAAAAGTGAAACATCATGACTTTACTTACTCTGGATCTTCATTTATTCTTTTTTATTCAGAACGCCAACTTAGGATCAACAACTCCTGAAGCATTGCCTTCACCGGTTAAAAGCTGTTCTGGGTCCTGAGAGAGACACACAGAGATACAATTATCATCTCGAGTTCATCCATAAGTGGTGATTGATTATAGATGGGAAAAGCTTATACCTCCATTCCCCATTTGATGTAATCTGGAGACTCACAGGCCTTGTATTCATCTACCAAACTCTCAATTATGTCCCTTGATTCATCAAACTCTGAAAGATCATTGTCCTGTCCATATCGACATGTGAATTCTCATGATTTCGACATTTAATTGACAAAGTTGAGGTGCACTAAACATCAACCAAAAACAAAGGCAAGCAGTCAACTTACCGCAAACATGGGAAACTTTCGGTAATTGTCAAGAAAAGCTTGCTTCTTCCTCAATTTCTCATATTGGCTCAAACATTTGCTGAAAAGGTGCCTGATACTAGTGTGACTTGCTAACATAAGACCACTGACCTGAAATATCAAACACACAACCAAACTAAGAGTCTTCCATTGTGATTTCTATAGCAAGAACTGGCGGCCTAAGACATAAATTGTATGGAGTACCAACTCTCAGCAAGTCAGATAAGTATTATAAATAGAGCGAGATATGATTACCCTATGGGCAGTTTGAACATATGGGGACTTCTTGGAAAGCGCAACCTGTCAAGAATAAGATGTGGAAAAAATTGTGATGCAAGTCCAGGGTCAAGTCACAAACAAGAACTGTTTGCAGACAGAGTTTGGGTCAAAACCTGTATGCTTGCAGGTCCCCACTCAATGAAGTTAACAAGCTTTCTTTCTCGGATCCTCTGCAAACTCTCATGCACCTAATATAAAGTAGTAAAAAAACAGAGCAGATCACATCAACAAGACAGGATTATTAACCGATTCACTCTCAATATGTTGACAAGAAAACTGTTAGGTGCCAGAGCAACAGTACCTGAGTGGGATCAACTTCTCCTTGAATTATGTTCAATATTGATATGTACTTTGCCTGACTAGCTTCTTTGTTTCTAGCATAAGACGAAACCATGATATTTTTTGTCTGCAAATACAATCATGTTAGAAGTAGATCTGATTCAAGTTTCAAAAATTAGTTTGGAGAAAACAAAAAGCTCACCTGTAGAAGTCTTCTCATAACATCCAGCACAGTAGTTTTACGAATAACATTTGCCTGCCAAGGAAAGTTCACTTAATCAATAAAATGGAACATTCCACAATTATGTGGCTTTAAAAATGCAACACACATTTTCAGATACAATAGCGTCCCACAAAATGATTTCGTGATTGATGGTCTCAATTATTAAACACTTGTAATTTGTTACCTGGCGCTCAACAGTCAACGGTGTGTATCCTGTCATGAGGAAATGACACCTTGGTGTTGGGATCAAAGATGCAAGCAAGCCAACCAAGTCATTATTCATGTATCCAGGATAACGCAATGTTGTTGTGCTAGCAGACATGACAGTTGACACTAACGAATTCGTTTGAGCAAAGGTAGGATTTGTTAGATGTAGACGCTCCACAGCTATTCTATTCAATGCAGTGTTGTCAAGGACAACAACACAATCAGCATTTAATGTAAGTCGCTTCAGCGTCAACAGTGAGTTGTAAGGCTGGACAACTACATCACTTGTCTCCATCTGGTTGGGGAATACACTGTATGTCTGAACCAACTTCTTGCTATAGCGATCATTCAAAGTCTCCAATAGATAAGAGCCCATACCTTCATGCGAACAAAAAAAAAAAAAAATCATTCACACTACAAGAAGCAGTGAATAAACCAGAGAACCTTAACTCAGAACTCGTACATGTCAAGTCCCGTAACATCACTTATCAGTTAGCAAACTCGACACCGTTGAGGAATGACTATTAATCTAATATAAGATAGAGGTTGCCTAGAAAATGAATACCCGAGCCAGTTCCTCCAGCAATGGAATGGCAAAGAACAAATCCCTCAAGGCTGTCACTTCCATCAGCTTCTCGATCAATCATATCCATGATTTCCTCTTCAACCTCCTTCCCCTGGCCAAATTTAGCAAGTGAAGAAAATATGAGATATATACTGTGATCATATTGGTCTCATGAAAAAACATCAAATAGACTCACGAAGAAGTTTACACTATAATTCAAAGAAGAGCGAAATTATCCCAATCGAAAGAGCGTTAACAAACCTGGTGATATCCACTGGCCCAGTTATTTCCGGCACCACCACCGTGGTCCGAAAGGAAGATATTCTCATGATTATAAAGATTCCTGTATTCACCATTCTGAATACCATTGATCACTCTAGGCTCCAAATCAATCAGTAGAGCTCGTGGTATATAGTGCTGGTCATCAGCTTGGTAAAAAAACACATCTTTTCTATCACCTCCCTGGACACAGATATCATCAAATCCACAACACAAACACCAAAACCACTCTTATCAATCCAATCAGGTCACACCCAAATCTCAATTTACTAAGAACCCAAAATCAGAAACAATCCAATGACCAAACAAATCAAATTTCACCGTCTATATGGTATTCAATTATCGAACTTTAATAGAAAACCCAGAAACGATTTGGAAGCAATTGATGATACAAAGGAAGAAGGAAGGACCTGAGTAGCGAAATCCTCGAGAATACCATCTTTACTAATCCCGTGCTCGAGGCAAAGCTGTTTCCAAAACTCCATTCCGATCTGGTTCCCACATTGTCCGACTTGCAATGTAATAATCTCCCTCGGCA